GAGGAGGAGGAGGAGGAGGAGGAGGAGGAGGAGGAGGAGGAGGAGGAAGATATCCCACCTGGGAAATGGGTCTATGTAACCATTTATGAAATTCGAGAGGAAGGAGTAGAGATCATAAAACATGTCCAGTTTAAGAGATGTTCATTTGAGTCATGTGAAAACCACTATTAGAAAAAAAAGAAGTCTCGTGATCAGTAGCATGTATAAGCAAGTTCAGGGAATAATCATACTGAAGGCAATAGGATCTATGGAGAAGCAAGCTCACTGCTAGTCCAGGAAGCCAAAGGATGTGAGAGTGTGCCCATGAACTATACAAGAGATCGTGGGAGGAAATAGATACAGTTCTTGCTGAACTCACAGCAGTGAGGGACTAAGCACGGATCAGCCTTGTGGTCAGGGAGAATAAAAAGGCAAGCCAGGTTTTCTCTGCTCAGTCTCTCTCCTCTCTCTCTCTCTCTCTCTCTCTCTCTCTCATTTTATTACACAGTCAGCTTCTTTTATATTTTCCCTATATATAGAAATGGGTTTTTTTCTAACTCAATAGAACAAGAAAGGAGAATGTAGTTTTGTAGTTTACCCCAGAAACCTGGGTTTGGGATTGACAAGAGCAGCAGAGACCAACACTTTCAGTTCCCAAGTGCAAAGCCTGTGTAGGAGCCACATGGAGGTGGGAGTGGACACATCTGTGCAGGTGAAGCTTTCTCTGACTGCAATCTCACCAGTAGAGTAGCCAGAGACCATCAGAACTGAGAAAAATAGCACCCAAATTATTGTCATGCTCCATTGGGCTTCCCGTCACCATTTTGAAGCAGTTAGAATAGCAATCACTATTTCTGCTTGGGACAACAATCTCCTTGTCTTCATCACCAAGCTTGTGACCAGGAAGTGGCATCATAGAGGTGAGGAACAGCACCCACAGAATAAAAATAGGATGTACACAATGAGAAATTATCAGTCTGATGGGGTTTACAGTCACCATGGTAACAAATCCCTGGATGCGTTTGTGAGGGTTAATTGAAGGAGGAAGACCCATCCTAAATGAGGGTGGTGCGATTTTATGAGCCAGGTTCCCAGAAGAGTTTCAAAGGAGAAGGCAAGCTGAGAACCAGCATTCACCTTTCTCTGTTTTCCTGACTGTAGTATGTACGTACAATGTAATCAGCTGCCTCAAGCTCCCTGCCTCTCCTCCCATAATGGGCTCTACCTTCAAACTGTGAGCCAAAATAAAGCCTCCCTCTTTTCAGGTTCTTTTCAAGCTGTTTTGTCTCAGCAAGAAGATAAGTAGCTAAGAGGGGTGAGATCAAGAAGGCCACACTAGATTGCCAGCTCCATCATTTGGAAGGGTTCCTGGCCATCTGGACCTAGTCAGTCCTTCTCTATGCATATTACTTCCTCTACTTGAAAACTTACTGCCATCAGCGGGTTTTCAAGTAAAACTAAATGTCCTTGTAGCTGGTGGATGCTTCTCTGAGACCATCACACTGATGGTGTGATGGAAGGAAACTGGCTGCAGAGCTGTTATTGTAGGCACTATCAGTAGCATAGCAAACTCTCATGATACCCATTGGAGGCATAGCTCCAACCCCAGCCACAAGGACCAGAGGAAGTACCATAGGAGCCACAGTACAACTTCACATAGGGTAATAGCTGCCTTTAAGGTAGTGGATACAATACCTAGTTTCTAGTCACCCATACCAAAATTACAGTCAGAGCCTCAGTGATTACTAAGCCACTTATACCCAGGCTATCACTCTAGATCAGTGGTTCTCAATCTGTGGAACCTGACCCTTTGAGAATCACATATCAGATATCCTGCTTATCAGATACTTACATGATGATTCAAAACAGTAGCAAAATTACAGTTACAGAGTAGCAACAAAATAATTTTATGGTTGGGGATCGCCACATCATGAGAGACTGGATTAAATGATCACAGTGTTAGGAAGGTTGAGAACCACTGTTCTAGATAGTTCCAGGAGATTTGGGGGTTACTTCTGAATGATGTCATTAAGAGCCAGGCATAGGTTACTGAAGAGGGTACATCTAACAATGTCCCCAAATCTCAGGTGAGCTTTTCTAGTCCCTCTCAGTTAAGCAACCTTGATTGGGAATACTCATTTTCAAACTCTACATGTCACCGCCAAGCTTTTTAGTTCACACATAGCTTGATGTGGCACAAACCTTTAAATTACATGGTCACGTATGTATCCCTTAGGAGGCAAGTAGCAAAGTGTATTATATCTGCAAGGAAAATTTCCCAGGGTATTGCACATTCAATTTGGCTACTCTACTCTCTGAGGAACTATAGCCTAACTGCTTAAAGACAACAGAGGATATGCTTCAAAATCTCTGTACTTCAGTTCTGTCCCAAATAGAAGGAAGACCGTGTAAGATGATGTGGTAGTTTACATTCCTCATTTGAATAAATATAGACAAGACATCCCGGTTTCATTTCTGTCACTGGGATTAAAAAATCAAAAACCATACACCAAAAACATCCTGACAAAGAGCAACTCAGAGGAGAGGAGGTTTATCTTAGTTCAGAATTCCAGCTCATAGCCCATCACTGTAGGGGATTCTAATTAGCAGGAACTTAAAACTGCTGGCCGTATCACGTATACAGTGGACTAGGTCTTTGCACCTTGTTTTACATAATTAAGACAATCCTTCATAAGCATGCCCACAGGGGAACCTGATTGACAATCCCAGGCTAAGACTCTTTTCCCAGGTAATTCTTGTTTGTGTGCAGATGACAGTTAATATTGACCATCACACCTGTGATCCCTGATGTGAAGTAGCTGCCTGCTTCCATCTCTAGTCACATGTCCAGAATAGCCACAACAATCTCATTTACAAGATTTAACCCAAATATCAACACTAGTATGTAAAAAAAAAAAACCTGAGGAAGAAAAACTCCCTCAGGTGAAACTTGAATTAAATGCTCTCCGAGTCCTGTTTGAATTTATGATGACATTGTAATGTAATATTTTGTCCACTGACTGTGAGAGTCCTTAATGTTGTCTTAGATTTCAGTAGTAAGGAAATGGACCTAGAAAAAGGTCGTTGGTCTCCTCATCACATTGATGTGAGACTTTGTCCTGAGAGTTATCTAGATCCCTATTCAGAAATGTGTTTGGATGTGGAGATAGATGTTGCCCTATTTTGAGGAATGGCTGTTTCATTCCTCCAGCCCCCAGCCCACTGTATTATCTTCTATGAGACATTTGAGTGGTCTAGTATAACCATGTATAGCAGTTAATTTTTATAATTTTGGAAGTAATCTGATGACAAAGGTGTTATGACATGACACCTTAGAGAGAATAGTATTTATTTGGGCTTACTATGGTTTTGGAGGGATATGAGTCTGTCATGTCAGGGAAATGTAGCCATAGGCAACGGACATAGCACGGAGGACAGACAGCAGCTTTCATCTTGAACAAAAAACAGGAAGCAAAGAAAGCTTACTGGGATTGCTAAGTCTTTAACCTCTCAAAGCCTACCTCCAGTGACACATCTCCAACAAAGCCACACCCTCTGAGCCTCCTGAGCCAGTGCCACCCACTGGGGACCAAGTAGTCAAATATCTGAGTCTCTGGTGGACATTCTCATTCAAATCATCATGCCAAGGAATGCCTCACCTCACACAGTAAAAAAGTAAAGCATCAGGTAGAGCCCCCAGAGACTAGTGACATATGGATAGATGGACATACAGAGACTCATAGAATGCAGGCCCGACATGCTCATTGGAAGGCTGGTGATCGTAAATCACACAAAAACAAATTATAGGCCCCAGGAGGGCATATGCCATGTGCGAACACTGTACACTTTATATAAGGGACTTTATCTTTGTAAATTTTGATTTTCTTATCTGCAGAGATCCTGGAACCAAGTCCCCAGAGGGATGGACAGGGCAGGGACAGGTGAACATAAATCTCTGCCATTTTGGAAAGAAGTGTAAAGAGTTGGAAATGTAAATTAAACAAGGTTGTGCTGAGTCCATGGAACCCCTGCCTGTGAGCGTACTGCACAGAATCCTACCTGTGTTGAAGGGCAGCACCTGTGGAGGAGGAAACATCTTACAAGGAGGTGCAGAGTGAACCTGTCTGTTCTACAAGGAGATGCAAGTACCCTGAAATGTACATCTCTACTCTCTCCCCTGAGACCTCCTTGCCTGCAGCTCCCCTTCCACTCTGCCAGTGTCTGTCACTGTGAATATTCAAAATTCCTGTGAGGATTAAATTGTAACCATTTTTAGAAAAATCTACAAACCAAATGTCCAACCTTCCTACTTGCCCTGTGATTATCAGTATTTTGTGCTGACAATGAAATACCGAGCATTAAAAATATCCTGTCTCTCAGGAGAGTCAGAACGGCAGGCTGTATGGCGCAATGCAATCTGTGTGGTGAGCGTCTTTGAGCTAAGCCAGGCTTATATGGACAGTGGATATCAGAGCCATTTTGAAGACCCTTCTTAAGTATTAACAAGCAGTCATAAAATGTCAAGTGGATCAGATCCGTGAAAGGCACGGAAACTAGTGGTGGCATTAAACATGCATGGATGTTTTAAAAA